TGAATACATTTTGTGTAAACTGCCCAGAGTAGACATGTTCTAGATGGGTGGTATACAAGTCTAATAAATAAATAAATAAATAAATAAATAAATAAATAAATAAATAAATAAATAAATAAATAAATAAATAAATAAATAAATAAATAAATAAATAAATACTTTTTTTTTTACTTTGGACCTACTGACTGATTATGATGAGTTCCTGCCATTTCCTAGGTTGTGGACTAAGTAGGGTTTGCCAATCTTAGCAATGTGGCAGTATTTACAATTGCAGTACTGTATTTGCTGGTATCAAACATAATCCTGTGGCACTAAGTGCCTCAGAGTGTCCCTTACTCTTGGAACTGATCAGTGAATCAACACAGGGAAAGAAATCTTACAGTATTGGCTCAAAAATATGATATGCTATCATATGAAAGCAGAACACAAGCCAGCACCTGAAAATTATATTCCTCCTCCACTATATAATGAGGGCACAAGCCCATGTACATTGCAATAAAAATAATTTAAAAGTCACAGTTATACCATAAGTTGTTGCTCATTTGGTTACAACTGTAATACAATGCAGTTGCACTTTTGTTATTGAGAAATGAAATTATTACAACTATTTAATTATAACTTATCGTAAGTAGTTAATTCTAAGTAACTAACCTAAAGCAGAAACACTTCCTTAATTTCTAGTTACAATCTGTTTCGGTCTAATAGTGTAATGAATAGCTGATCCACTTTAAATTGGTAATGTTCTTCTTTTAATGCTTCACATTTGTACTGTCCTTTCAACATGTACCCCATTTTTCTAAATTCATGTATTTTTGGTGTAAGAAAAATCTTGTGGCAATGAGTTCCCCATGGTCACTGCATAGAAGGTGTCCCATATTACCAGTTTTCCATGTATGGCCTTTCTGTGGCATTGACTCAGTTTTGTAAGCTGAGATGGAAGGGATGCAAAGGCTTGAACATACATGTCCCTGTGATTTATTACTTCAAAGTAATTTCATTATGGGTAGCTGCCTATGCATGTTTTAATTGTCTAAATGAACTTCTGTAACAAAATATAGCTGTGATTTTGTAAGCATCTGATTACTAGGATATGCACTGCGCTAAAGGGCCCTTAATTCTGTTCACACACCAGAGACAGAAAAAGAGAGAGTGTGAGAGAGAGAGAAAGGGAGAGAAGCTGTCGCCTGGTCTGACTTGTGATCAGCTGTTATTTCCTTTTTATATGTGTCAGTGTGGAACATATTAAAATTTCTCTCTGATGGTATGCATGGCATCCCTCTGATGCCCCACCTCTAACTTAGCAGAACAATAAAAGCAAGGTTGGAATAAGCCTTGGAGCAGCTGGCTGTCTATATATTCTCTCTTTTTTCCCTCTTCACATAATCTAATTCAGAATAGAATTCGGGTAGCGCTGGCACTACCACTTCCAGCCTCTGCTGCTTCTCGTTCAGTTGGTTGGAATTTCATTGTGCAGCTTGTCTGATTGCAGTCTGCTTTATAAATGGCAGGCGGAGTATTCTTTCTTCTGAATGTCCTCACCATTTGTCCATCCAATGCTCAGGCCAGCTGATACCAAAGGGACTTTTGAGCCACCAGGAATTCTGCTAGATCAATATTATTTTAGCGACCAACTCCGTCCTGCCCCCCCTTCCCCAAAACAACAACAAGCATTGTCAGAGAGTCTGCTGCTGATAAGGTTTTCATGCTTATGCTTATTATATCCAAGCCTTAATCCACTTTGGCGTGGTGTTATCGAAAGAGAAAGGGGTTATGCTGCCCTTTCGGAAATGCAAGTTTCGGACTAGAGTTAATACTCAGAGTCTGGTTTGCCAAAGGTTAAGCATACCATGATGGTGACATGCACATCCCTCCCATAGTACTGCGACTCAGGCTGAGTGGGAGCTCCAAGGATGTTGCGCTCCTTGTTAAAAGAAATAAATGGTTATCCGCCAGTCTTTCAATTCTGTATTCCTTCAGACTGACCTTCAAGGAAGTGGCAAGTTTTGACTGAAGAGATTTATAGCGAGGGAAAAGATTTAGCTCCAGACCGAGTATGCTGTGCAGTGCAAGAAAGTGTTATTATTTTTTAAATTTTCAGTGAAATTCTTGGATGGTGATCCCAATAGAAAATAGTTGTGTTTCTCTAGCAGTACTAAAGTAATGATCCACAATTAAAAATTTTGCCTCTAGGATTGGTTCTCCCTGAAATTCTTAGAAAAGTTTAAAAATAAATCAAAGCACTGCTTTTTGAAATGGAAATATTAGTGTGAAAGAGAAGAAAATTCATAAGGCCTTGTTGACTGGCCTCTCTACTTCATTATCAAAGATACCTTTTCTCTAGGCATCATGGTTTCTTGATGGTTACATTGCTGATAACTGTATTTACAGTTCACACAACCTGCTGGGGAAGACTATTTTTAAAATGTTTCTATTTTTTCTCCTCATCCTTCAATCTACTTTTAATTTGAATATATGATAAACCACAGGAGCCTCTCATATATCTTTTCAAAGACTATGCTCTGGAAAGATATATGTACAAATTCTTTAAACATGAGTGTTGATTGTGTATATGTAAAATTCCTGAATTTTCTTGCCGGTGCACTGTCAAAGACACTACCAGCTTCTATATACTATATTGTTCTGTATGCAAGTATACACAGCAAGCGTTCAAGTTCTTCAGGGTTGTTCTTTGGGCTGACTATTAAACACGATGGTTGTACTGAAAGCAGGAAGACAAAAGCCCAGCTTAGGCTTTATAAAAATGGGAATTAAATAAACACAGGAGGGGAAGCGTATGAGTCTAGCCAATCCATTGCCAGTTCCATGAGGCCCAGTCTAGACAATACAGTTAGTACATCGTTAGAGGTAGAACTCACCAAAACAGTAAAATATGTTTGTCCTAGTGCTGGAATTCTAACTAGCAATTTTGGCACTTGCAGCAAGCAGTGCAAAAGATGCCCCCAGATCAGTTTTGTAATTCGTCATGACATGAAAATAATACAAGAGATCATTACAGCATTGAACACTTTGTTAGCATGTCCCTTCCTGCAAGGGGATCAGCAGCACTGTCTAAGCTCCAGAGACAAATGTAATATACAGATGCTCATGCACACATGTACACACTGACATACATAATTATTATTTAGCATACCCTCTATAAATAAGCTGACTTTCTGTTCTGTCCAACCCAGAGTCTACTAAGCCCCATGTAGACCTACCTTCCAACAAGAAAAGCTTGACCTCACCACAGTCCCAGTAGATCACACATTAGGGATGGGAGTTTTGAGTTCCAGGACTCCTTTTGGAGATTCAAAGACTCAGTGAGAATCACAGGACCTCAAATCAGCAGGAGAGTAGAACAGCCAGCTCGTCTCCAGGTTGTTCCCACGCTGCTTCTTGAAACGATTAGAAAACTGCTCTACTGTATGTACTGTGGGAGTGGCAGGGATTCCCTGTGACCCACATAGGTGCACAGGGGAGACTGCCTCCGTACAAAGTGCAAAAATCACAATGAGATGTTATTCCTATAATTTGAGTGGAAATCCATTCCTGCACACTATATTACACAAGATTATGACTGGATGAACACCTTGGGATACAGCTTTGCAGTAAGGATGGATATAAATCAAATAAATAAAAAATAAATAAACAAATAAAGCCTAGTATTTAACAACTCTCTGAATTGCCCTGTGTCTTGTTTTTTTCTTACTAAAAATGAAGTTTTGTTGAAATATCTAGCTATGTAACAATCAGTGATTTTGGAGGGACAATCTGAACATTGCTTTCAGAATGTCTACTCCTAAAATTCATCTGGAATTGACATGCTGTGACATCTTTCCGGACATTTATCAATAGTTATTTCAATGTATATGGTTTTCATCTTTTCTTGCACAATGTCCCTCCCAAACTATTTTATTTCAAAAAACAGGAGAGGGCTGATTAAATGCACGTACCAATCAAAGGTTCTATTTTCCCAGCTCAGCCAAGGGGAAACTCACAGATGGGTGGCTTCTCGCTTATCATGGAAAAGAAACACATGCATTGCAAAAAGAAAGACAGCTCTTCTAATGAAGGCCTCTGACCCAGACCGGGAGAAGGTAGCAGTGACTTTAAAAAGGCCATATATAAGTCCCTGCTGCCTTCTCCTGGTCTGGGTCAGAAGCCTCACCTGCTAAGCTTCAGGTGGACTTGCCTTCCAACAGGAGAAGCTTGATCTCCCCACAATTCATGGAAGCCAGCATTTATTTGGATGCCATTACCTCCTGCTTCTTCTGGGCAGAGGCCCAGTTTACCAACCCACAGATATCCTTGCTATCTGATGCATGAGGCTTGGACTATCCATGATCTGAGTAGATCACCCCTCCATTTGGATGCCATCACTGCCTAGGTGACCAGGGCTGTTTTTCCATTTCTGGAAAAATGTAAGTTGTTGCAGTTTTTAACATCTGATGCTAAGTCAGAACCCTGGGATCCATTGTGAAACAGAGAGCAGGAGCAAAGAGAATCTTGATAGTCACATCAGCAAATCTGATGATCAGTTTTAGATGCTTTGTTAGGGGAAAAGTCCATTGAAATCAAGCTGGGTAGTATCAGTGAAAATATAAAATATTTGGACCCATCATCTTCCCTGTTATGTCCTAGAATGCTAGAATATAATCTTACTCCAATTTGAGGACTTATCTTCTTGATGGCCAAATCTGATTCTCTCCATCCACTCAAAAGTCATAAGTGGCTACTTCGGATTCACTAGAAAATGTCTTAGAGTTGCACTGGGATAATACTTTTACTAGGACTCAAATGAGATGAAGTCAGAAACAAGCACTAGAGTTTGCAAGAAGCTTGCTTGCTTTGCCATTTTCCATCCTGTCTGGGAAGGTTTTTGTGTAAACTTGAAAGCTTGTCCTCTAATTAATGATAAAGTAAGAAAGGTATTAACCCCACTGTCATTTAGATTGGATTAATTAAGATACCTATGGGTTTTCTCTGCCTGTTCACTACAGGTGTGCCAAACAATGGTACCCACCACTGCACATCACAATTTTAAGGCTGCATTCATAAAGCTTTGTTGCCAGGCTGGGAGCCAGATTCTGAAGGAGCAGAGGAGCAAAGATCTGTGGGAGGTAAGAGGAGAAGTGTTCAAGTTGCCTCTTAGCTATGGGACTATGGAAGAAAGGGGAGCACACATTTGAGGATAGTGTGTATAGTCTGTATAGTCTTCATTTCACTTTAGGCACACTGATGTGCCGTGCCATTTGTTTGTTTGTTTACACTCCACCTTTCTCCTTTAAAAGGACCCAAGTTGGCTTACATAATTGAAAGACAATATTTAAAGCTGAAAACAATGACAGAACCATTGGCAGGATGGCATTTTAAGTTCCAGTCGGCTTCATATTTTAGTGGTGTTGACATGTTCTAACTCCTCTCTCTCTCTCTCTCTCCCCACACACACACACACACACACACACAGAGAGAGAGAGAGAGAGAGAGGAACTTGTGGGAGACACTCCATTAGTATGAGAATCAGTCTTGTGCACATGCTTCACATCTGACTTATATTTTATATCTGGTGCATGTGTGTCAGGATCAAGACCCCTTCTAACTGACTGACACACACTACAAATGTCCAGACCAGAGTGCTTCCTATAGAAACCATATGTCACAGTGCTTAAAGGTTTAATGTGACAGGTGAAATCAAAGACAGTTCAGAACTGTCTAAATGTAAACCACTGACAAAAGTGAACTGGATTGAGTGCTGTACAAACACTAAAACAGCAGCAGCAACAACGATAGCAATTCGTGTATTTAATTGTAGTGTTACTGACCCAAAAGGATCGGGTGGTTTTCAGTCTTTCCTGTTTCAATGGGTGCATTTTCATGGAGACCTTTGCTTGCCATAACTTCTCTTCTCTTTTCTTTCTGATTTGGTTAGTCCTGAGATTCAAGGAAGAAAAAAAAGGTGTTGTTGGGATCATGCCCTCATTCATGCCCCGTATCTGCAACAGAGCAGTTCTATTATTGAAACCACTGATATGATGGAACCCTATATACTACAAAAACAAAAGAAAAATATATAAAGAAGACAAAAACGTTGTGGCACCTTAAAGACTAACTGCTGTATTGAAAGCTCACATCAAACTATAATAGTCACTCTTTAAGGTGTTTAACAGAGGTTTCTGTTTTCTATTGCATCTTTTCTGATATAACTAGCATGGTATGAAATCTTGATTTTTTTTTCTTTTGAAATACAAAGCTGTAGGAGAACTCTGCAGATACCCTGGATTGTTAGAACGATGAACATATGGTTCCTAGATCAAATCAAGCCTAAATTCTTTCTAAACAAAAAAACAAAAATAATGAATCTGGGGCTGCCATATTTTGAGCATATCATGAGAAAATAAGAACTTCTGTAAAAGGCAGTAATGCTAGGAAAAGTTGAAGACAGAAGGAAAAGGAAAAGACCCAATACAGGATGGCTTGACTACAGTACATGAAGGAAGCCATGGCCTTATGTTTGCAAGACCTGATCAGGGCTGTAAATGACAGGGCACTTCGGCGATCAGTCATTGATAGGGTCACCATGGATTGTAGGTGACTTGATGACACATAACCATAGGAATAAAATCTGAGGATACCAAACCCTCTATGAAGGCCTTTTCTTATCTGACCATTTCTGTTGCATTGGCTATTAAAGAACTGGATGTCAGAGCTGGGGTGGCGGCAGTTTGAATACAAGTCACCAAACTCTACAAGCATCTGGCTCAGGGATCATTGGGAGTTGTAATGTAAAAAGAAACTGTTTCAAGCTGTGTCTTCTGTGCAACTGTATCCCCCTCCCCCATTTTATTCCAACAAAGCTATAAAATGAAAATTATAGAGCCTGTGGGTGGTTATGACAACCTTTCCCTGGTTTTTATTTTAAATTAAGGCCATTTTAAGCTGCTCACCCAGCAGAAAAGGGTTTAAAGGGCTAGTAAATTATATACTAGGACAAAATAAAGTGGCTTGAGGTAAAATGACAGTGAAGCCTTAATGTTTTCAGCTTTTCTTCAAAATTACAGTGTTGAAGAACTGACTACAGGTGGATTCCATCTCTATATTGGAACTATCCAGCACTCAGAATGGGGGAAGCATAAAAGAGTCAAGGGCTACAAGTTAGCAGACCCACCCTTAAGTCTTGGACAATGTGACCAAATCCCATGCTCGCAAGAGTACAGAATGTTGTTTATACGACAGGGGATTAGCATGTATACATTGTGAGCCAGACCTATAACAGATGTAAATCGGTTTTGTCCCACTGAAGCTATTATTGGTCTGCTGCCTTACATTGGGCAGAATCTAGTTCCATGTATTGAACTTGGTGTCCATACAAAAGCGTGTTCAGGAGGCCAGGGAGGGATCCTCTTAATTTGTTTGGAAATATCTTCTACACTGCTTCAGTCCTCTATTTTCACCTCTTTGCCTCTGAGTGGGTCGCAGCTGCTTTATGACTTCATCGGGCATTTTTAAGTTGGACTACAATGTCGGATGAGGGTTTCAAATGCACTCACATCATTGTCTGCCCAGTCATCACCAGGGAAGAGACGATGAAATAAGGAAACATGGAGAGCAGGGGGTGGGGGTGGGGAGAGAAACAAAGCCACAGCAGTAATTTTTATTTGCAGACAAAGGGCAAAATTGACTAGACCTCTTGTTGCCATGTGACAATGAAAGGGACACATGCCAAGGCACACCTGACTTCTTTCTTTTTGCAGGGCTGGTTGAAAGCATTTTTGCTGTCTGAGGCAGAGCAGCAAGTGGCACCGCCCCTGTCCACTCCCAGTTAGATGTATAGAGTGAAACGTTGGCAGCGGAGGCAGAAAATCTCACCAGTTTTCCCCAGATGATTTAATCAATTTCATTATATTTATATATATATATTTTGTTCTCTCTGGAAGTGACATGCATGGTCCTTCTGCCCACGTATATAATCCCACAACATTTTGGTGTGGTTGGTTAAGCTGAAAGACAGCAAAAGCTTGAAGATCCCTCAGGAACCAGCAGTAGCACAAAAAAACCCCCAACAACCCCCAAGCCCATCAGTTTAACTGAGAAAGAGGCTTTCTAACTTTCGCATGGTACAGATTAGTTTTTGGTCATGGGAAAATAAAAAAGCGATTTGTTTGCCAGCTCCGTTGCTCATCCATGTGTATGTCAAAGAATCAGGTCTCTGAAGGTCCAATGTGTTATCTATTTCAAAATGCAAATGAAGTCTCTGAGGTAATTTGAGCCCCCAGACATATCTTTAGGGATGATCAATTCTTTTACAGGGCTCCCTTCCAGGCGTATCAAATTGTATGTAACACAACCAACTATGTGTGAGTTTTGGATAAAGATGACTCCTTCAGTCTTGAGCCATCTATTTTATGTGTGTGTGTGTTCAGTTGTTTAGTCGTGTCCGACTCTTCGTGACACCATGGACCAGAGCATGCCAGGCCCTCCTATCTTCCACCGCATCTATTTTATGCATGGATCATTTTGCTTGGTGGCTTGATAAAATGTTATGATTTCATACTGGAGTGACTGACAAATGATTTTGTATGGTGTGTTCAGTACTATTCCATGCCATTGATTCCCCACAGAGACAGAAGCAAAAAACTCTTATTTGGGTTAAAGGAAAAAAGGCATAGTTAAGCTATAATCTGGAAGAAATCTAGATCAACCCTCTGCTCTCCTCACTCATAGCATGGGTACCTTGAGGTACACTTCTTGTACCTTAGCATCTGCCCAGAGTAAATATGTGATGCATCATTCATAGTATATAAGAATTGACAATGAACAGGCTTTGACAGTGTCAACACCTACAACTAGCAGATTTGCAACTCCTTCCTTTCCAGAGTTACATCATATTTACTAGACCAGTCCACTTGATTTGTATTTGAGGGAAGGAAGCCTCATGGGCCAGTAGCCTGTTCAATATTTATGTGTATGTGGAGCTCCATCTGTGGTAGCTGCCATGATGATCTGTTGAGGAGCCAGTCACATATGGCCAGGAGCATGACTAGTACCTCATCTGATGCCTGGGAAGCTTCCATAGTTAGGATTTGATGCACATTGCATGGGATACTGGGCATTGGGTTTAGTTTACATAGGGGATTCTGGGATTGTTAGTCCAAAAATGATTATTCCAGACTCTGGTCATTAAGACACCATTAACCAGAGGCCATCAGGATATGCACTATAGATGTTCTAGATTTTACTTCTTTACAGAAGGATTTTATTGAGCAAAACAGGGGAAATGCCCGTCTCAAACCTGTTAGAGGTTAGTTCAAATTTCCTTCCCATTCAGATTTTGCTGTGTCACCTGGTTTGGCTCAGTAGATGGCTGCTTAAATAACAGAATGGGACATTGCAGATTCACAGTGATGTCAGAAACTAAATGCATTTTGCTACACTCTTCTGTCATGCCCTAAAAATAACACTGGCAATGCACGCTATGCTGCACATAAAGGAGGGGGGAACATTTCCAAGGCAATTGTCCATCCAATCAAAAAGATCTTACTATAGAGTGCTTTGGGTGAACGGCTCCTCTTCATTCTTGTTCTTTGTTTATCTGGGAACCTGTGTGTTTCACACAAGGCAAGAGACAGATCTGAGAGTTTAATTAACAATTAAACTAATTCTCAGTCATTAGCATTTCACAAGGGGACTTTTTTCAAACATTATTCCCTCAGCAATCCAGCTTGCCAATAAAGCTCATGTTTACCTTCCAAGGACCCATCACAAAGCCAAGCAGCATCTGTAGGTAAGGAAAACTATGTGCTATGACAAACTTTAGTTCAGGGATCACCTCTTCTTCTAAAAATGTACTAGATTATTGTCTCGTTTGACCCTCTATTCCTGGCAGTCTTCATGTTTCCAGAAATGGGGGCCAATAATTTCTTTGTTGCACAAGAATGCTAGGTGTGTTCTTATACCAGCACAGCACCTAGCAATGCAATCTCCCTATGATGAATGAATCTAAACTGCAGTCTTCATGGCCTCGAATTTGTAGAAGTCACTGCTTTGGGAGTACAACTCCTAGTCCCTCAGGCAGTATGTCCAGTAGTGTAATTTTTAGACTTGTTCACCACCTTAAATGCCA